GGTTATATGCAACAATGGAGGATGTCTGCATCACAAAACCATCATAGTCCAGGCAAATCAAAAAACCATGGATGACCACTGAAGTTTGAGCCCTGCTGCAAGAAATTCAGCTTTAATATCTTACGCCGAATTTGAGCCCTGCTGCAAGAAATCAGCTTTAATATCTTACGACGAAACTTTGAGCCCTGCTGCAAGAAATTCAGCTTTAATATCTTACGACGAAACTGCCCTCAGGCCTGAAAGAGCTAATTAGAATGAAGCCATCAGAATGGCAAAAAGTACCCACACACATAAACACTTTCAACACCACAGAGACACTAAAAGACTGTGGATGGGAATTCTATCCTTCACAGATTATAGGACTGATTCCCAGGCCTGTGATGATAGTGCTGATTTCCTGGAACGTCTTAATAATTACGTTGGCAGGTTTGAAGCACTTAACAACACACCAGCAGTGAAAACCGTTCCACATCATGATGACCAGGTCCTACATCTCAACCCAGCTGTCATCCAATGGACCCTGAGGAGAAACAACCCAAGGAAAGCTATGGGTCCTGACATGATACCAGGGAGGGTGCTCAAAGGATGCATGGACCAATTGACTCATGTCCTAACAGACTTTTTAACATATCCCTGAGTCAAGCTACTGTGCCATTATGCTTCAAGACCTCAGCCACCATCCCAGTTCCAAAAAGACATTTTGTTTTTAAACTTGCAATTGAGCTCTGGTGCATCCTACCCCTAACGATAGTTCTTGAGGTGCTTCTATAGCTTTATTAGAGTCCACCTGCACCTAATTTAATGTATTGGATATAATTAGGAAAGGCACACACCTGTCTCTATAAGCTCTCATGGTTGATAGTGTATGTCAGAGGGAAAACAAAGCCATAAAGGTTGAGACAACTGTCCACAGACCTGCAGGACCAGATTCTGTCAAGACAAATCTGGGGAAAGACAAGAACATCTCTGCAGCACTAAAAGTGCCCAAGAGTGCAGTAGCCTCCATCATTCTCAAATTGAAGAGATTTGGAACCATCAACCGTCTTCATGGATCTGGCTGCCCAGCCAAACTGAGTAATTGGGGATGAAGGGCATTTGGTCAAACAGGTAACCAAGAACCACTATGTATGAAATCCAAAGTTCCCTTCTGGAGAAGGGAGAACTTTACTGAAGGAAAACCAACAGTGCAGCCCTCCACCAATCAGGAATCTATGGTAGTGTGACCCGATGGAAGCCATTCCTCACTAAAAAACACATGACAGCTCAGGGAGTATGGGAAAAGGCACAAGAAGGACTCTCAAACCATGAGAAGCAAAATCCTCTGAAACAAAGATTGAACTATTTGGCCACAATTCCCATCAGTATGTGTGGAGAAAACCAAGCAGTGAGCATCACCTCACTAATAACATTCCTACTGTGGGGAGGTGTTTCTGTGTCTGGGACTGGGAGACTACTCGGGATAAAGGGAAGGATGGATGGAAAAAAATATAGAGCAATTCTGAATGAAAACCTTCTCCAGAGTGCTCAGGATCTCAGGCTGGGGCGAAGGTTTATATTTCAACAAGTCAGCGACTCGAAGCATACCACCAAGAAAACATAGAAGTGGCTTCAGGAAAACTCTACGAAAGTCCTGGAGTGGCCCAGCCAGAGTCTGGACCTCAACCCAATAGAACATCTCTGGAGAGCCCTGAACATAGCTGTGCACCACTGCTCCCCATCCAACCTGGGTGACCTTGAACGATTCTGCCAAGAAGAACAGAAGAAAATTCCTAAAGAAAGGTGCCAAACTTGCAGCCAAAGGTGCTTTAACCAAGTACAAAGTTGCAGCCAAAGGTGTTTTAACCAAGTACAAAGTGAAGCGTCTGAATACTTATGTAAATGAGTTATTTTAGTCATATATTTTTAATAAATGTACAAAACAATGCAAAAAGCTGTTTACTTTAACATTGTAGAGTACTGTGTGTAGATTAATGAGGGAAAAAATTAAGATGAGTCTGCAACATAGAAAATGTGGAACACTTGAAAGGGTCTGAATACTTTCTGTACTGACATCTCTGAATATAATCTAGTTCAGTACAACAACACCTTTAACTATGACCTCAAAAATAAACATATAATTGAATGTATACATTTATGACAATTTAACCAGAAACGGAAACATTTTGAGCTTCATAAACACAGATGTTAACGTGGAAATGTTGCATTGATCGTTGACATTTTCGCTGCTTATTTGTAATCTTTTGTTTCTTACTTTGGTGCTGCTGGCTACAGGTCCTTCATAAGCAACATCTATGAGTGACAGTTTTATTCTTGGGAGCAGAGAGAGCAGGTCTCTATACTGCATGATATGTCTAGGTCAACTTTGACAGGAACATCAGAATCAGAATCAGCTTTTGCTGAACACGTGAAGAATGTGACTCTGGTACAGTGGCTTTCAATGTGTATGTACAATGTTCTTCCATAAGACAACGAGTAAACAAAATAAGACTGAGAGAACAAGAAAAGACAAAGAATGTGCAAACAAGAAAAAAGAATCTACATTAGGAAAATCCATCCGTCCATCCATTATCTGTACTGCCTATTCCTGAATAGGGTCAAGGGGGGCTGGAGCTAACACCCTGGACAGGTTGCCAGTCTATCACAGAGCTGACTACATTAGGGAAATAAAAACTAAAAATAAAGTACTTCTAAATATAAAATATATGTGTATATACACATAACATTGTATATACACCTAATATACATGTGCATATAGTCATACAGTAACACATACACATATAACATAACAGAATTTTGAAGGTTTATAAATGAAACCTAACTCAATTCACCTCAGACCCTTCAGCCTATTGTTCCTTCCACTGCATAATGAATAACATATACTGTCATCAAAGCCTATATACACCAGAACAGTATCCTTAGATGCAGTGGTCTAATCCATTTAAAACTAGTGACTGCTGCTGATTAGTTTGGGGAAATGTTATTATATGAATGAACATTAGAGGGCAGTCTTTAATTAGCAGTGATACAGACCTACCTTATGGGAGTCATGTTGCCATAATAATACTTGCAATGATGCACAGTGTCTTTTAATCACTAATATATATCATGTGTTAAATGGCCTACTACTTTTAAAAACAATTCTAAAGTCAGTCATAAAAGAGCAGCTGTTTCTTTTATTGTAAAATGCTGACATTGTGAAAACCACAGAAGATTAGGACTTCAATTTTGGAAAAAGGAAACAACAACCTCAAATAACATGGACATGTTATGAATACATGACTAATAAATTCTAAACTACACTGTAACTATTTAGTCTTGTACCACATGTGCTATGTCTATTCATTCCTTTGTGGTTAGATGTGCATTTTGGCCATGCAGCACTAAGGAAAAAAATTTAAGGATGCAAACTTACATAACCTCAAAACAGATTTTGCATTAAAAAGACTGTGTAAAGAAAAGGCAATGACAGCTATATTTAAAAAGTACTTTTATTTTGAGCCTTTAGCACATAAAAACAATAGCATTCTTGAAGAATGATACATCTGCTTGGCAATCCTGTGTCAAGTACAGCAGCTGAAACATTCTTAAGTCATTGTTAAAACACATTTTTGTAGTAAAATAAGTGAGAGGATGGAGTGACATTTGTATGCTGTGTTCTCCAAACCTGAATTTGTTGGCATTAAACCTTAACAAAAAAGAAAAGCCTGAAATGTAATCATAAACTAGAGTGTTTAGCAAATCTATAACAGCTGTACATTACCAAACCTTGAGAAAATAGAATAAAAATAGTGTCAAAAAACCCTGACCTGATTTGAGTAGTATCAACAATATATGATGTAAACATTATAAAAAATACAAATTACATATGTATACTGGGTCCTGCCCACAGCCAGTATTGTCCTTTGGGAAGTAAATGCACAGTCTTGCTAAGGTTAATCAGTAACAAGGAATAACTTATTTAAAACAGGGTGAGGAAATGTCTTAAATACCAAACTACTGTAATTTTGTCAGGGTGCATATACTGTAGATACATAATACAGATATGTACAAAAAACACAAGAGATGCACTTTGATGCATTATGAAAATACATTTGTATCAGACCTACTCCAGGGAATCAATTGCTATTCATTAGGCTTCCTACCCTCTGTCAAGGTGCCACCCACACATATACTCAGGCCCCAGCATGAATGCTTTGCTTAACTGGTTTGAGACAAATTGACAGTGTCCAATAGCAAGGAGCCAACTCCTGCTTCTCCTGTCACCATCTGACCACAATCATATGATGGATTTGGACAGAAAAGTGTCCATACTTTCAGCGTGGCCTATATGTGTCTCTTCATGTGGAGAGCCAGGTGATCTGAGCGAGAGAACGCGCGCTCACAGAGCTGACACTGAAAAGGTCGATGCCCAGTGTGTTTTCTGAAGTGACGGGTTAGCTCGTCTGACCTGGCGAACTTCCAGCCACAACCTTCCCAGTTACAGTGGTATGGCTTTTCACCTGTCGAACACAAGGACAATAATGTTTAGATCATAGGCCTTAAAGTGCATGAACAACACCAAATTATTACATCAAAACTTGCAGATAAACGTGCTCACCTGTGTGTGTTCTCATGTGTGCTTTGAGGTGGGAACTCTTTGTGTAGGTTTTCCCACAGCCTTGGAACTCGCAGTTGTGGGTCGCGGCCCGTTTTCTGGCCCACGACCTGCGGCCTCGCTTCTGCTTGATGCTCCCCAGCTCATCATGTGCGTAAAACTCCAGTATCGACGGTGACGAGGGAGGAGTGAGCATCATTCCTTGCACAGAAGCTAGATGATGCTGCTGGTGAACGCGCACTGGCACTCTGTGCATGCTGTACTGTCCTTGAAACTGTGGCACACTCTGGTGTGCGTACTGCAGCTGGTAGGGCGAGTTCATGTACTGGCTTTGGAGATGGTGCTGATTAGGATGAGAGCTCATGGTAGAGTTAATCTGTGCCAAAAGACAGTCTGTGCGTCCCTGACATGCATGGTGCTGCACAGTGTGCGTACCGAATCCCGGTAACGCACCTGGAACTCCAGTGTGGTGGTGCGTAAAAGCTTCCGGATGCACAGAGCATATTTCGTGTTTCTCAAACATCTGTCCCATAAAGTCCCCAACAGAAGCACCCATCATACACGATTGGCCAACAGACTCGATCTTAATTTTGTATCCAAGCGGCGAAGGAGATGTGGGCACTTGATGAATAACAGGTGCAGTTGGAACGATGCCCGAATTCAACGTTCCCAGTTCTGTGCCCTCCTGTCCGTCTCTCGCCTTGTCGGCGCTGTGCGGTGAACTCTCCCCCGGGTATGTTATCTCAGACGTGAGAAGCTCCGCCATGAGACTGCGGACTGGGCCAGAGCCCGTAAAGCTCGCGGTCCCGTGGTAGCTCTGTGCGGCCAGGTGAGAGGAGGGCTGATCACTGCAGTCTGGCACAGAACCACCGCTGCAGCTCTCAGGAGACTCTGGCAAAGAATATGCACACTGTTGCTGCTGAGGCGGAGAAATGTTGCCGGCGTTGTTGCTATTGCTCACAGCATCGGAAGCGATTGTGTTGGACAAAATGAACTCAAGGTCCAATAATTTCCCTAGCTCGTCCTCTTCTTTGAGAAGTAAAGCAGGAGGCTGTACAATGCTGAACTCCACTTCGATACGCGGATTGTCTGCGTCACCTGTTGTACTGCTCCTTCCAAGCTCAGTCACCTTGCACAGCTGTACGGGAGAACAAATGAAACCCGTGTGAGCCTAATGCGGATTGAACATCTGAACTAACAGCAAACAAGTATTGGCTAAAAAGAGATACGATTGTTTCCCCCCCTAAACATAAAATTCTCTACTTACATTGGCAAACTGTTTTCCTTCCACCTCGTGAACATTTGGAAACGATGCCATGGCAGGTACCACTGCTTCAGCCACAGCCATGCTTAGCGTTTAGATTAAAACAAGACTATTTAAAACTGTAAACGCTAGGAGACACAGTCCTCTCTGTCCATAGAGCGCCCGTTTGGTGTCGTTGTTAACTGAAGAGTGTTCCAGGATTCAGGAAGTGACTATCAACAGACCTGACACAGCCTCTTATAGCTCCCGTACCAATCCCGGGAGGTGTGGTTAGGACTCCCCTACGACGCACACACACAAACATACACAGGCTAGAGAGACGCCTCCCCCCACTGCAGTCAAAAGTGCAAACAAACGTTAAATGGCATTCGGGTGTGTCAACCATGTATAGTAAAGTGCAAGTATGACCAGAAACATCCATCATATCTTTCAAAACACACAACTAATCTGCTTATTTTTCCACGATTGCCAGAGGTTATAGAATCGTACATTTTCCCACTGCATTTTCATCCTTGGATGAGAAAAAAGTGTGGCTCAAGAAGTATGTAAGTGTAGTGCTGTCAAATTCACCCCCACTACAGGAAATACATCTAATTTCTTTCCAATCACTTCCCTTGAAGCGCGTACAGGTGGCGGCACTAAACCTGGCAAAGGTCATAAAGTACAGGAGAACCAAAGCTCTGCGTCTTAAAGGAGGCTTAAGTTGCGTTACAGTACAACCACAACATCACTGAACCCAAACAAAGTGTTTGCATCTCATAGACATTTAAAGTTAGACGTGTCTCAGTTTCGTCCCAGCCTCTTCAAACGCACATGCATTTAACACAACCTTAATTTGATCCCTGCATGTTTAACACAAACAAATGTGTGAAGCAGCGGCTCATTCCCGAGGCCCATCGAAACAACCTGTTAATCTGGGTCGCAAACAAAGGACTACATGTTAGATAATGCTCAGTAATGTTGCCTGCAGTCATTGCTATGGTAATGTACAGGTGGAGAACTGCGAACAGCTGGCAGGACGAGACTAGAAACAAAGAGAAAGACACAGAAATAAGACTTTGCTTTTGCTTTCAGTCATTTGTGGCTTGTCCGATTAAGATTTCCACGCATTTCACCGCTTCAGAAAATGACCACAGTTCTATACTTCTCAAATGATATAGAGTAACATCTTAGGCCACCATTGCAAAGGTCTAAATAAACTGGTCTCACAATTTTCATTAATATGTTAAAACTTAAAACCTGCAATGTAATGAGAATTGCTACTAAACTTGATTTTCAACTGAGGACCTAACCTTATCTAAAACAAAACTCATATTGTTATTTTATAAGGTCCAAGGAAAACAGAAAAGTGACAGTGGGGAGGAAAAGTAGGTTAATTTGGCAATAATTAGGATTTTTCATATAGAGCAAATGAAGAAGCGTATCTGGCTTTGCTCCTGTAGATGTTGTATGCATTCTGTAGTAACATTATCACAACTGAGCATGACAACATGACAAGTCTTTACCCCATATCTCAGACTAGAAAAAGTTGGTTTAATTTCCACTGTAAAGTTCCAAACTGCAACAAACACAAATAAACAGAAGCAAATAAGATAAGATAGATAAGATAATCCTTTATTGTCACTGTTACATATACAATGAAATTTTAGAGTGACCTGAAATAATCAAATGCAAATAATCCTTTCTTTTCTTTGTGGCTCTGCTTCTGCAGGTGTTGTGAGAGGCACCATCCTGCAGCTCTCTGCCTTTATACTCTGTTATTTTTAACCTGCTGGGCTTACGCACATCAAATTCCGGTACTGTATATGAGCCAAGTGGAAATGGACTCTTTCCTGAGGAAAAACTAGACACTTGCTTCCTCTGCTTTCACTGTGTAGCAGTCACCTTTAGCTGTAACAACTAAGGATGCAGATATGGAGCAGCTGTTGCATGTATGGTCTACCATGGCCTGGCTTTATTTTTATGACTAAAACTAGTATCTGTTTAGGACATTTTATTTTTAAGGTACTATATACAGTAGCTCTATGGTGAGTTTATAGCCAATGTTATTGTACTACAGAACCTTGTATGGTGTAATAATAAGCCTGACAGAGATTCTCTGTCTTAGTATCCTTGACAAATCCACCTACTGAAATAGAATTTCAGTAGGTGGATTCAAAATTCAAACCCACTGAAAACAAACTATGAGCTCTCTTAACACAAATACTCAATTACTTAAGATTACAGTCAGACAGAGTCAAGGCATGTTTGTCAAAGATCAAAACAGTCAGTTTAACTTGCTCAGCTGTTTGTGTTTCTAAGTTTTAAGTCTCTTTTGGTAAAATAGCTTATTGCTCACTGAGGTCCTATTTCATTATCTAAATATCTCGCATTAATTCAAACTTTCTTGTTCTTCTTTGTTATGGATGGAGAGACATTTGCATTGGCACACATACAGTATCAGCTGTGTTTGTGGGATACTCCAACACTCTTCTTCATCTTTGATCCTCTATTCTTTACTTTCCTTTCTTTGACGCAACACTATCTTGAAATCAAGTACTCAGTTTTTATGGTTGGCATATTGTAGTGATCAAGTGCACAGAGAAGGTTAAACCATTAAAAGCAATACATAAATGGTTGCAATGGATAAAACAAATAAAGACACAATAAAGATTCAAATATTTAGCTAAAAGTAGAAGCAAACAGGAAAAAAGTAGATAGGTGTGGATAATAAGACAGCCAAAAGTTGGCTCATAAAAGCAATAGCTATGGTTAAATAGTGAAAATAAAGAGAAAATGTAATACACAAATCTCTGAGTAGGTGGCTGAAAGAAACAAATAAAGAGTTTAAATGGAGGTAAAGGTAGTGGGCTGATGAGAAGTCCAGTTTCTAATACTCTACGTGGTAGTAGTCCACATGCAAACTTGAATAAAGCAATGTGAACATGAGGTCAAATGTATGAAAACATTATCGCTTTAATAATTTTAACATTCTCTTTAAAATCATTTGAAAAGAACATATTTGGTACCCAACAGGTGGTGTTGGAGAAGGGGGACTTGAGTCCATCTCACAGGGCTGTGGGGCTAGGTCATTAGAAAAGGACAAAAAGTACTGACTGAGTCAGCTGAGTTGAGCCTTTGAACACTGTTCGCTCATTTGATGGGAAGCACGTTTGTCTCTTCCATGCAAATGTGCGCTGGTATGCTTTGTCAAATGTTCAGGGTCATTGTCTCATTTAGAGACACATCTGTACTCTCACACACACACATTTGTTCTTGTGATAACAGTGATTAACATAATGCATTCCCTTGCCCCTTACCCTAAACCTGGCCCTCACAACTAAATGCCTAATCACTACACATTTGCCCAAACACTAACATAAACCTAATTCTAACCTTAATACTAAAACGAGGTCTTAACCCTCCAACACCCTCTGAAGTTGTATGAGGGAGTGAGGACCAGCCAAAACCTTCATTGTATAAAACTCTAACTGGTCCTTACAAAGCCATATAAGCAAACACACAATTTCTTTCCTCATGAGGCCTTTACATTGATTTACATTCATTTCCTGGAGACTTACCCTAACCCTAATCATAGCCACTACTTGCCTAACCTTAACCCTTAACTTAAAATCCACTGATATAGATCTGGTCCACATGAGGAAGCCCAAGTCCCCACAGTGTGAATGTGTAGACAACATTTCGTCCCCACACTGTGAATAATACCACACACACACGCACCCACACACACAAACAGCAATTATCCTCCATCACCCACCAAGTGAGGGGAAACCCAACTGTTATCTTGGATAAATATGCCATCTTGCATGGCATGAAAGAGCAACAAAGTGATTAAAGAGAAAAATAAAGTACAACGCCGATGCAGAGATGGGCTGGTTACCCTCTAGAAAGCTACCAAAAGGAGATGGGAAGGAGAGGAAATGAGAAAAAATGCAAATCAACAAGATGAATCATGGGAATGAAGAATAGCAAATAACTGCAACCTGAGGTCTGTAATCAGTAATTCTGCTCTTCCTGAAGCCAGAGTCTGACGCCTATTGGGTCTAACTACAAAG